GGGCCGGGCCGGGCGCCTCTGCCCCGGTGCTGACCGCGTGTGTTGCAGGTCGCGGGGATGGAGGACCGAGCGCCTCCCGCGTCTTCGTGGTCCGCAAGGATCAGGACATCTACATCCACACCCTGCGGAAACTCTTCAATGAGTCGCACGGGATCTTCATCGGGCTGCAGCGGAGCGAGGAGGAGCTGGCGGGGAAGTCGAGGAAAGCGCAGTGAGTGGATGGGGAGCGGGAGGTGGGAAACACCCGCGGTCCCTGCGCCTTCTCCAGACAGGAAAGCGCCTGGGACTTGGAAATGCCTCTGGTGAGGCGGATGCCATTGACCAGGCTGCTCCGAGCTGCTGTAATCAGCTGCAGTGCAGAAACAATGGCTGTTTTGGGGTCATTTTACCAAGCAGAGCCCTGATCCTTCCAGTGACTGTGCTGACCAACACCTTTCCCAGCATACAGCAACCACTGTGCACAGCCTCACTGATCCCCACTGATTCACCCAAGTACTGGGAGCATCTGCTGCTGCAGAGGAACTTGCAAAGCTTTAGTGGACAACAGGCATGAGAGTAAAACTCAAGCAGCACTTCCTAACTGAAGTCTTTCTCTGTTTGGCAGTTTGGTTCAAGTGAGTAAAAACTACCGGTCGGTGATCAGAGCCTGCATGGAGGACATGCACCAGGCAGCTAGTAAGTTTGTTCTCTTACAGCAGTAAAAAGAAATGCTGGTTGGGGTTATAAAATAGCATTTCAATTGTGAGTTATTGCAACTACTGTAAAATAGATTCCAGTAATTATCAAGACTCCATTTCTGTCCAGATTTCCAAGTTGGTTTGTAAATCCTACCACATTTTAACAGATTTTCTTGGGGATTTGCAGTCTTTCCATGTCTCAGGTTGCAGTTTTATGGGAAACAGTCCAAATTAACAGCTGGCTCCCTGTTGCCATACCCAGATTTGCACAGGATTTGTAAAGGAAAGTTGCAGTTTTATATAAAAGTTAGCTTTGCCACGTGTGTACTCGGTTATGTCTGTGCTTGATGAGTGATCACATATTGTTGTCTCTATTCATGGGCCCTGAAAGGGCTGTGAAAGGTAAATCTGTCACACTTTGACTTTCCTTGTTCCTCTCTCAGTTTCAGCCCGGGACCCTGCCCTGCAGAACCAGTACAGCACCCAGGTAATGTCATGTAGTCACAGCAGAGCATGGAGCCTGGCTAGTAAATCCATCAAGGAGGCCAGCACTGTGGCAGTAAAGCAGTTTAGATTTAACTCTGGCTTAGTATATTGGATGCAGTTTGTGACCAAGAATAAATGGGGATAAATAGTGAGCTCCTTTATTTCTAGAACCAAAAAAAGATGTCCAACATCTCAATTCACTGCCATTTCTTAAGCATTTATCCAGTGTTAGAGGGGTGATGTTTTCTTGTCATCTTAGAGTCAGCTGTGAGCCAGTAATTGGCTGTCTGAGACTTCACCCCTCAAACACACAAGTTCCAGTTGGCCTCGTGGCAAGCTCTGGCTGTTCACTGGGAGTGCATGGGAAGAGCAGTGCTCACAGTAGCTTTGTTCTGACAGCAGATGCCTTTATGTTACTATTCCCAACAGCTGGAATGATGACTGGCTCTAAACATGGCCCTGCTTTTTTCACTCTTCAGGTTTCTATCCTCTCTGCGATGGAGCTGATCTGGAACCTGTGTGAGATTCTCTTTGTTGAAGCAGCTGCAGGTGAGCAGTGAACTATCTGATGTTAAGATTGAAGGGTTTTTGGTTTGCTTATTCACTTGTTTAAAATATATATAGCATCTGTTGTGTCATTTTAATATGTTTTAGAGCTACAACAGTGTCAGTAAGCCTTTTAATACCTCTTCTGCCTCAGTAAATTGCTGCCTTCTTACAGAATTACATCAAGCTGTTAGATTTGCCTTCTACCTTTTCCCCTCATGTATAGTGCACTACAATGTAAATTCTCTTTTTGACAGTTAGGGAAGAAGAGGGATATCAAAAGTTATTGCCAATTTATTTGACTTCTGAGCATAAGCACATCTTTAAGCATCAAATATGTTGATGCCATCTAACATTTACACATTCTCTGCTGCGGCTCCTTTAGCTTTAGATGCCATTTCTGAAGTCAGTTTGTTTACACTGGCATTTGAAAGTAGTGAATAGTAAGGAAATGGGTTGTAGATTAAGTAATCTGAAGAAAAGTTAACCGCCAAGTGCCAGATTCCTTCTTCATAATCAGTTAATAATAATGAATTGATGCTAAATTAAACAGGAACATTCTGTGTGTCCTTTGGCATTGCAAGATTTATGATCTGAATCACTCACCTTTTGTTTCTTCAAGTAACTGGTTAGGGTTTTCTTCTGGATTGTGTTGCCACATGGAATTCTGTCAGCAGCCTGGTGCTCCCACAGCCTGGCTACTGAGGAGCTCTGGGCCTTTGTAGTTTGACTGTGGCAGGTAGAAACCCAGTCAGTAAACCTCAGGTAGGTGACTGTCAGGCCAGTAAGGTTAGAAGGAAGTAAGACAGCAGTTTGGGAAGAAACTCTTGGGAACTAACAGTGAAATCTTCTCTGCACAAAGCTGGCCCCCTCCTGCTTCGCCTCCTCGACTGGGTTCGACTTCACGTCTGTGATGTAGACAACATGGTCCGTGAAGTTCTGAGCAGTGAAGATCCATCAAAACATGAGCTCTTCTGGAACGTGGTGAGCACAGTCTCAGCCAGCCTGTGTGTTTTGCCTTCCTCTTCCCTACTCAACACTAGATGACATCTAAAAACTGATTCCTAGGATGCTGTTGTCTACCTCTGTAGCTTTTAAGATGAATCCATTCCGAAGATCATTCCCATCCTGATCCTTTCATTTTCACCCTCCACAGAGGTCAACCCACTGTGTATTTGAATTAGCAAGGGCCTACGGTTGAAGCATTTAACTCCACTCAACTCACAAGTGAACTCTGACACCCTCCTGGGTATTTTCCAGCCTTGCTCAGTGTGGTGCTCACAGAGGGTGGTTTTTACAGGTGGATGTCTTTGTGCTGCAAGGCCGAATGGATGAAGCACGGCATTTGCTCTCCAAGGAAGCCAGTGCCAATCCCACGTCAGTGAACATGTACAGAATCCTGGATGACTTGATGAAGAAGATGCCTGTGCCCAGTGTATGTATAAAGAGCACTGTTACCATGCTGCTCCACTGGGAAAAGAGAACTACTCTGATGCGGCTCCTGTCACATAACCACTAAAACATCTCAAGTCTTAATCCTTGACAGCCATAATATTTGTGTTCTTGAGTTGCCCTAAAGACCCAACTATTCAGATAAAAGCCTGTTGAGTGACAAATCTGCAGAGAAATGTCATTTTAGCAGCAGGATCCATTCTCCAGTTGTCTGAAACAGATCCTGATGAGAACTATTCTCTCATACAGAATATCCTCTAAAGACTTAGCAGCAGTTTTCCTCTGTTGCAGTGATTTCCCTGTGGAGGAAAAACTGCAGCTGCAGGAGTAACCTCTCACAGGCTCCTCTTTGCCTTATTTAGATGGGTAAAATAAGACACTTCAGGTGTCTTACTGTAGGACAAGTTAAAAATGGATTTAGCTTTTTATCACAGCCGAGTTCAGCCCCAAGCACTCGTGATTTCACTTGGTGCTTCCCTTCTTATTTTATGTATCTTATCTTCTGTTCAGCTTAATGCCACCCAGACACTGACTGAGATGGAGCTGAAGTGGCAGCACTGGCATGAAGAATGTCAGCGGTATCTACAGGATGGAACTTTTGCTTCCAATTCCCACATGGAATCCATCTGCAAGGTGTGTTTTTGCTGGGAAGGAGAGAAACCAGACAAGTACCAGATCCATCCTTGTGTATTTCAGGAGCCCTGTGTAGCCATAAATAACTTGATTATGCTGGATGACCTGTTCATTAAATCAGGAGATTTCAGGCCAGTCTTCTCTGTTGTTCTGCAACAGTCTTTGCAGGCCTGGGCAGATCGTTTTGCTGTCCAAGGCCATGGGGCTGATGAGGAAACTGGGCTCTGAGAAGGATCTTTGTCATTTGTTACTTCATTTTGATTAAAACTTTGCAAACTGGGAGTGATGCTTCTGGAGAGTCCCAGTGCAGCTGTGTGCGTTGCTGGGTTTGGAGGATCACTCCTGTGTCTTTCTCCTGTTAGATCCTGCTGGGAGATGAGGATGCCATACTGGAGAAAAAGGAGCTCATGACCACTTGGTACCACTTCCTGGTTACCCGACTGCTCTATTCCCACCCAACGGTGAAGCCGATGGAGCTGCGGTTTTATGCACAGGCATGAAATGGGATTATTTGGATCTTCTCCACTCTTCTCACACACACAAAATTACTGACTTAAGGAACACTTTGGGAGGGTAACATCCTGCAGCAGCTACACACCTGTAAGATGTTCCCTAGAATCTGAAATGGGTCAGGAGTCTGATAGAGTTGAAGACCCACTCTCTTCAGTGGCTGCTGACACCAGTCTTGTTACTGCAGATTGTTTTCCCAGTTTCCTTATGCTAAAACAAGGAAAAAATCTTTCTTTGTTAATGTGTTCAGTCTCTGACCTGTTATTTCCCATAAAATGACCAAAACAAGGCTGCTCCATCCAAACGTCTTCCTTTTACCATCTCACAACTTCTGCATTTATCATGTCTTGTAATCTCATTCCACAGTCTAGCATGGACCTGTTCCTGGGTGTAGAATGCAGCCCTGAGCCTCTAGACACGATTTTGATGGCAGCCTTTGAATTTGAGATTCATCAAGTGATCAAGGAATGCAGGTGGAGTTTTAAGGCTTCTCAGTCCCTGGTTCTACAGTATAGCCTCTGTTTGCATTTACTCCAGTAGGATTTGGGGTAGAGGATATGGGTGCAGCCCCACCTCATCATCCTTTCCAAGGATTTAGCAAAAGTACATGAAGCAGGCAGCAATGACAAGTATTCCATTAGGTCTGGGACATTGCAGCCAGACATCTTGCTGGAATACAGCCTCTGTATTGGGAAGAAATGCCTGTGGAGAACGTGACATATTCCTTGGCAGCAGTAGGCTTAGTTTTTCCTTTCTTTTGCTCGTTTCAAATGCAGCATTGCCCTGAGCAACTGGTGGTTTGTGGCTCATCTGACTGACCTGCTGGACCACTGTAAGCTGCTGCAGTCCCACAATCTCTAGTAAGTATTGGTTTGTATTCATTGTTCAGACACCCAGCAGCAAGGATGACTGTAACAGCACATGGATTTTGATTGAAAAGGAGCATCTTAGGCCTGTACAGAGGATGGAGAATAAAGGTCCTGCCTGTCATCTGTGGCAGAGGGTTGGAGCTAGATGATCTTAAGCTCTCTTCCAACTCTTAACCATTCTATGTGCCTCTGAAGTTACAGGCAGCCCAGATGCTCTGAGAAGCAGAAGCAGTTGCTGACCTGATGAATTCAATGTGCTGTTCAGCAGTGCCTCAGGATGGTGTTAGCATTCCTAAATATCCTTTTATCCAAAATACCATCAAGGCCCCAATTGCTTGTGATTATTTGGAATAGTGAGAAACTAACCTCAAAAGAGCTCCTGAAGTTTGAGCAATTGAATTTTGCTGTGTGGATTCCCTTGAGGTCTCAGTTTATAAAGCTCTTACAGTTGCTCAGTGTTGTAGCTGTTGGCAGGTCTCGCAAGGAGAAAGCTGACCTGCAGCTTAGGCCCAAGGAACGAAGATTAAGATGGCCCCTGAGAAAACATGCTGCTTAAATTCACATACTTGTGAAATCAAGTCAGCAGGTTGTTTTTCAATGAGGTACAAATAATAATTCCTGTTTCTTTTCCCTCTTCCCCCCAGCTTTGGTTCAAACATGCGGGAATTCCTTCTGCTGGAGTACGCCTCAGGACTCTTCTCCCATCACAGGTACCACCTTCTGGTTTTGCTCAGACAACAGACTAACACGGAGGCAGCTAAAACAACTAACTCCATGTTAATGAAATAAAAGGGCAAAACTTCCAGAGCCACTGTTTGAATCCCAGCAGAGGCGTCCTTAAGGGATCGTGCAACACGAGCATGTTTTCTTTCCTGAATGGAAGACAAAAACTATTTGTTAGAGCCTGGGGAGCATGTTGACCTGGGCAGAATACTCCTGTCATGGGGCTTTCCTGGTACAGAACAACTTGTACTGAAGCACTCCTGAGCTGCAGGTGTTCCACAGTTGTTCTTGGTAGAAAGTAGAACCCATTTTAGGTCTGAATACTGACTTAGCCAGAGCTGGCTGTTACTAATGCAGACCCAGATTCTCCCTGTGGCTTTACTGTTGTGCTTATTTAAGGTGTATGTGATCAGAGTACCTGATGTTGGGGTTTTGCCCTCTCTCAGCCTGTGGCAGCTGGGGGTCGATTACTTCGACCACTGCCCCGAGTATGGCAGAGTGTATTTGGAGCTTCACATTGAACGGATACCCCTCAACACAGAACAGAAGGCCCTCAAAGTGCTGAGGATCTGCGAGCAGAGGCAGATGCATGAGCAAGGTGATGGATTTGTAAATCTCACTGTTCTGTAGCGGGAAGTGAAGCCACTGAACTAATTGTTTCCCCCTTCTCCTGCGTTTCCTCCGCAGTCCGTAGCATCTGTAAGATCATGGCCATGAAGGCGTTGAGGAATAACCGCTTGGGCTCTGCCCTGTCCTGGAGCATCAGGGCTAAAGATGCAGCTTTTGCTACACTCATCTCAGACCGGTGAGTGTGAAGAGCAGCTCCCAGAGGAATGCTGCCAGAGCAGGGTGGTGGGGAGAAGACTATTAGCCGCTGCAGTGGAGCAGAGCAGGTCCTGCTGCAGGCAGAGGGATGCTGGCTTTCCCTCAGAGCGAGTGCCTGCTTCTGGCCTAGCGTGTGACATCCATGAGTACTCTTATCTGCAGTGCCCTCCCTGGTTCTTCTCTGCGCTCTTTTACTTCCAGCAGTCTAGAGATGAAACAGATTGGCTTTATCCAACAGGCCACTCCTCTTAAAACTTGCTTTGGTAAACATCTCTTGGGGCAGTATCTCATGTACTGCCCTTGCATTGGTAGGGCTGTTTGATGGACTGTGTAGTGAACCAGGGAACTGGTTTGGGTGGAGGCTGAGCCCCTTCTGTGCTTCATATTCAGCAGGTTGTTTTTAACCAGTCGAGTTCACCAGGAAACCTCCAGACAAGTCAGTGGGAGTCACCTGAGCCACTGTTTCTGCAAAGAATCTCAACCCCCAGTTTAAGAGATGTATCAGGCAGTGAAGTTCTGTTGTGCCCCTGGGTTTGCATAAGCTCATCACAACATCTGACCTTGGAGGGTGGGAGGATGCTGACAAGGCCTGGGCTAAAGCTCTGGCAACTCTTTAAGGTTTCTACACCCTCACATCCCAGGATGGAGCTCTGCAAAAAGCAGCCGCAACAAAACTGATGAGAAGCTTTTAGAATTGTTTTGTTCCTGCTGCTCAGCACTGTTTTTACACAGCAGGAAAACAGAGCTTTTTGTTATGATCTGGGGGTGTCATTTACGCACCCACCAGCCTCAGCTTCCTGTGCTCACTCCTTCGCTCACTCCTTTCAAAGAACAGATCTCAACTCCCACAAAATCTAGAAGAATAAATTAAGTGGCCACTTCCAGGAAACATTTTGATGCCTTTTGAAACCCTCACAAGAGGCTGATTGATGGAACTCGGTTGTACAGTGACGTTCTCTGGGATGGATGATGCCTCTGTGTCTTTGTTGTGTCTCCCCAGCTTCCTCAAGGATTACTGTGAAAGGGGGAGCTTCTCTGACTTGGACCTCATCGATAACCTGGGACCATCCATGCTGCTCAGTGACCGGCTGACGTTTCTTGGTGAGACAAGCACAGTTTTCATTCTGGTCTCTTAGAACACAGTTAACTCCACAGAATCACTTGGATCTGGCTCTTCCTCCATCTGGCTCCATCCTGGTTTAGTGATGAGGGGAAGGCAAATGGCTAAGGTGATGAGGGGTGCAGCCTGCTTGCTGCCAGGAGACTGCACTTCCAGCAGTGCTGGCAGCAGCATCTGTCCCACGCTGCTTTGAGCAGGATAGTCTGGAATACTGACACTGGGAGGCTTCTCTTCACTAAGCCAGAATCACTGCCTGGAGAGCATCCCAGACACCAGCACATGTGGTCTGGAAGACCTGAGGGGGCTTCCATGGCAGAGAAACCAGTGGTTTAAGTGATTGTAACAATGTGACGGGTTTTTACTGCCTTCAGAAAGTTCTCCAGAGGCTGAACCACTCCTCTGGGTCCCATGTGCCAAGTTCAAGCTCACCCAAACAAAAGCTCTTTCACTGTGACAGTTGTGCCCAGTAACAGCGGTTTCAGGCTCTGGTGACCTGGCTGCAGCTGCTCTGGGGCCTCTGATTAATGGACTGAGAGAAGCAATGGAGCCAAAAGGCACTTTTCTCTGGAGCTGAGGCAAGAGGAGCACAATTACTGGGGCTAAAATCTCACCAGAGCTTGCAATAGCTGTTGGCAATTGGGCTGACACAGCGCTGCAGTCAGGGTGCTCCTGAAATTGATCTGTTCCCTTTTGGTCCAGGCTTGCAAAACTGGAACTGTATTTCCTGCCTTTAAACCTGATCCTAAATTAAGCCTAGAAGCTGGCTGTGTCTTAGTAAATTGTTCACATCCCTGTGTGCCTGGTGTCACCCAGTGGCCCTGGCATCAGCCCCCAAGATTCACAGCTTAATTGTGAAACACTGCTTGGAAACAGTGATTTAGAGAAATGCCCTTTCTGCTGTTGGTAAAACATCCTGAAAGGCCTGAGAATTATTTCTGCTTGGAGTTTTTAGGAACATCAGGTTTTGCTGGACAACTTTCACATGTCTCCGTCCTGAGCTGAAGGCTTAGTTGAAGGGGATCTGAGTGGGAGTCACTAGTGCAGTATGTGGATACAAACAAAGGCACAGATAAACCTCACTTCCATCCTTGGGCAGTTCTCACGTGCTGATCTAACTAATTCTTAGCAAAACCAGGACGTTCCACATGAACAAAGGTCTCAGTTTCCATTTAACCACTCAGGAAGACACTGCAGCCCTTCAGCCCCCCCCATTTCCATGATTCCAAAAAGAACAGTCACCCCCTGCTTCTCTCATCCTGTTCCTGGTTTGTGCACACCCCCCCAGAGCCACTCAGGCTGTTGCCCCTTGAACACTCAGCACCAGTGAGTGACCATCCTGCTTCCACCAGTGAATCCTACCAGGACAGCAACAGGCTTTTGGCTGCCACTGTTTTAACAACATTCCCCTTCTCCCAGACCCAGCTGCTTTGGAGACTCATTTCAGTTGGGGGTGGTTCTACCTGTGGGTCTGACAGACGCTGACACCTTTTCCCCTTCACCAACACCCGTGTGCAGGCAAGTACCGGGAATTCCACCGGCTCTACGGGGAAAAGCGGTTCTCCGAGGCTGCCAGGCTGCTCTTGATGCTGATGACAGCTCACATCGCTCCCTGCTCCTTCTGGATGACCCTGCTGACAGACGCCCTTCCCCTGCTGGAGCAGAAAGAGGTGAGCAGCTGGTCACACACAGCAAACCCCCCCACTGCTCTTTCCTTCCTTCCTGACAGGGGATCGTCTTTTCTCTTCCCAACCCCAGCCTGGAGGTGCGCCTCCAGAGTAAAAGAGCAGTTAGTGGCAGTTCCAGACCTGTGGAGCTACTCAAGGGTGCCACCAGTGGGAGCACACAGGAGCCAGGACAGGACAAGCCACTCCTAACTTGGTTCCCTGCCTTTAGAAAGCAGCAGTGGGATCAGCAGTGTGCTGGTAACTGAAGTACACACCGCATCCACCTCCTCTTGGTACTTGAAGGTTGTTCAGTGCTTCCTTCTTCTACTTCCCATTTTTCTGTCAAGATCTATCAAGAAAATGACAGTTGAGCAGTTGCAGACCCATGACTGGGTAAAGGCCAGAGCACCTGCTCTGACCTCAAAGCTCACCCTGCTCTGCACAGGAGGTGGCACTGGAGACCTCCCAAAGTCACTTCCAGCCTGAATTATCCTGGTTTAAAGGGTCAGGATGGATCCAAAGGAGTGTGGAAGCTTTCTCTTCCTCCCAGCTGAGTTCTCACTGTGTGATGTCCTCAAACACCATCACTTTCAGCAAGTATTTCCATTCCCACAGGTCATATTTTCAGCAGAGCAGACTTATGAGCTGATGCGGTGCCTGGAAGACCTGACAGCAGGGAAGTCGGATAAGCAGAAGTTCCAGGTAGCTCATGCTCTGAGGAGAACTGGATAACGGGGTGGTGGGGAGCGCCAGGGGACACAAACCCTTGTGTGAGGGCAGAAAGGGGAGACCCCGATTTACAGGGGCTGGTGGGGTGGCATTTTTAAAGGCCAACCAAACGAGGCATCATGAAGAGATTTCCATAGACACAAGCCCAGTGCTGGGGCAGTTCTGCTGGGCAGGATTGGACCGGTCATTGCTGTGTGCTCACTTCCAGGATGACAACGTCGAGACGATGAAAGTGGAAATGCTGAGACTTGCTCTTGCACGGAACCTCGCGCGAGTCATCGTCAAGGAAGGCACACTGGAGGGATCCTGAGGCCAGCAGGGTGTGAGTTCACTCCTCCTCTGTGACAAACTGTACATAAACCCGAGTGCTTTTCTAAGAATAAATGTCTTGGTTTGCATATTGCTGGGGATTTGCTCTTGGCTGCCATAAACATAACGTTTCAGAAGGCTGAGGCTGCTTGTTCCAAGTGCCAGCCCTCCCCAGTGAAGTCAACCCCATCACCAACAGCAGCGTTACCTTGGCTTTCCCAGTTGCTTTGCCTCCAGTACCCAGAGCTGACACTAAACCCACCTTTTAAGCCGTGAGAGGTTTAGAAAACAGCAACTTCTCCATTTTCCCTTAGTTTGGATGGTCTTGAGGCAATGAGTTGAGTTTCAGGCTTCCCAGAAGGAGCACCGACCGCAGCAGCACTCACTAGTAAGGGGGACCCAGAGAGCAAAGTAGGGAAATCAGTTTATTTCACATGCAGCAGATTGAATGCATCTGAGACGTATGTACAGTTACAGCTGTTGGGTGTGAGCAGGAACCTCACCCTACAGACAAGGAACATTCAGTTTTCATTTCCAAAGCTTACAACAAGGCATTTCCACGCTGCAGGACTCTGGAAGCTTCTCTCTGGCTGCACAGCCACAGGCAGCACTAACACAGGACAAAGCCAGGCTGCAGAGAGCACTTGTGCTCTTCTGGCCTCCCCAAAGTCACAGTGAGGCTCAGGCTGCATCCCCAGCAGTGAAACCTCAGGACACGCTGCCACCTCCTAAGCACCACCCTGTGCCTGCTGTGTCAGAAGGAATTCTCTCCTTGTCCTCTAGCCTAGTCTGTCGGGTTAAAACTGCTCTTTAGGGACCCAGCCATGCACCCACCCCTCTCACAAGCCCTCAGGGAGCTTCATGAGCTTCAGACCAGGCATTTACAGCAAGTTCCTTGGCTGAGCTTTGATCCCACCTTCAGGGGTTTCTACAACTGGTGCCTCCCGTGGCCAGGTTCTCAGGCCTTTGAATCTGCTGAGCTTTTCCCCTCCAGTGATTTTACTCTAGAGCACAGTAAAGAAAACGCAGCTGCACGTAACTCAGAGCTGCATTTGCAGCAATGGGGTTTACAGCCACCGTGAATTCAGCAGCACCTTCTCCTCCAGAGTTCTCCTACCTCAGGCAGGGGTCTCCTCCTGGGTGTGGGTTCTCTCAGTGCTTCAGCTGACAGCTCCTGCTCTTCTCTGTTAAGAGCTGCTGCCTGGTGGCACTGAGTGGTGTGGCAAGGACCTGCCCTACCTGTGCTGTGGTCAATGCACGTTAAAACCCCACTAATCTAAACCAGTCTGTCTCAAAGCTCACTGAGGCACTGCTTGAGATTGGAAAAGGAGGAGGAGGGGGCTGCTGGAATCAGGTCTTTGTGATTTAAATCTCATTTCTGCAGCAGGAGGGGTTGGTGTTTCTGCTTGCTCTAGTGGAAGGTGTCCCTGCCTGTGGCAGAGGGTTGGAACTGGATGAGCTTTAAAGTCCCTTCAACCCAAACCACTCTGTGATCCTATGGTTCTGCCCCCTGTTAGCACACCCCAGCAGTGTCCAGCGAAACTGCTTCCCCCCTTGCAGAGACAATTGCACTTGGCCACTTAATACATTAACGGGGCATCAAACCCCACACATGTACCCCCCAGCCCGGAGGAGCTTCCTTCCATTCACTGCCTGCTTGTTCCTATTTAGATATCCTACAGCTCTATTATTTACATCTTGTATGTCATTGCACTCAGCTCAATAAAACACAGTATTCAACTACAATAACAACACTGCCTGCACGAGGGGAGGTGAGAGGCAGCTCTCCTGATCCCTGCGTTCAGTCGCAGCACCTGATCAGTGATTGTAAAGACATTCCTGCAGGCCGGGTGCTGTCCTCCACTGACACCGAGCCCCCCAGCCCAGCCCTGGTTACCTCCTCACTACTCTTCCCCACATCAGGGAGCGCGATGAGGGCAGAAAAATAACCAGTGCAACCACCTGCATCCGAACCTCAGCTGCCCCGAGCGGATGCAGAAGGGAGGCAGCAGTGTCAAACACAGGCCAGCTACAGACAGAGCAGCATCACACAGCACAGAGCGAGGGGCTGCTTACGCTGGCCGTTGGGAATGAAGCAGCAGAGGGGGAGGAAGGGATCTAAGTGCCATTTCAGTGTAAAACATCAGCATTCCCTCCTGGATCCAGCGTTATTGCTCGACATGCGCAGCGGGTCCATGTGGCACTGAGGCGGCGAGTCCAAGGGAGGGCGTGTGTAAGGGCTCTGCACTGAGGTGGCATCATCACCCCACCAGCCTGTGCTATCTCTGGACAGCAGCACAGGAACGAGCCAACTAAATCCCTCCTGCTGACAGGTCTCCCCTCAAAATACAATAGCTTCAAGTTTAATAAGAGTGGAAGGTAGAACCAGATGCACCCCGAGGTCAAGATGAAAGCAGCCAGCACCGCCTGGTACCGGCTGCAACCTCGGTCCATGCTTGGCATAAATGTTCCAGGACCCCTTCAACGTGGGGCAAAACATTCTGGACTAAAGCTACAAGCAGAGTGGTCAGGACGTGTAAACAAAGCTGCACATCACCAGTGGACAGCACGTGTGTCCCTCGCCACGCCACGGCCACTCCAGTCCTGCGGGAGCCTCTCCTGGTCCTGTCACAGTCTCTGGCAGTGGCCCAAGGTCATAGATTCCCCCATTGCTCTACAGGGGGAAACTGATCCACTTCGCCCACCTCTGTGCTGGGCTGGTCTCCCAGCGTGAAGGTCAGTCTGTATCTGAGCCTCACCTTCTCCTGCAGATGAGACAAAACCCAAGAGCAACATGAGAACAGCCCCAGTGGCTCCCAAACAAAACACCTGCAGCTCTGCAGAGATTCCGCAGCACACGGCAGGGGCACAGGGCCGTGGTGAAGTCCACGGGGTAGTTCAGCTCCTCAGCAAACCCGAGTTATTTCCCTTCACAGTTTTTAGACCACAAAAGCTTTATTGCTTAGCATGGAGCAGCAGGAGGAAAGCACGAGTGACCTGTCTGCACACGCGTGGCCAGCACCCACTGCTCTGCTGCTCTGCAGTGAGCCTGAGGAATGATGCTGGAATAGTTCAACACTTCCCAAATTCAATTCCCCATCATGTGGAGGAAGATAGAACAGTTCTTGCTCTGCAAAACTGCGAGTGAGACAGCAAGCAGGAGATGGAGCCAGTCCTTCAACGAGGGGATCACCATGCACCCCACAACCTCGATCATCTCTCCACCAAACCGCTCTGGCATTTATCCTTTAGGATCTCAAAGCTTTCAGCTGATGCTTTAGGGATCCTTCTGCTGTAATTCTCAAGCAGTAACATCTAGATGAGTACCTCTGTGTGCTACCCCAGCACACAGCTTTGAGCTTTATGGAGCGGCCTACTTAAATGGGTAACCACAGCAAGGACAAGCAGCTGCTCAGGTGCTCCCAGCACCATCAGCAGAACAGGAAGCATTAACCACATTGTTCCACTGGTCACAGGGACGTCCCCACAGAGCAAGGGAATAGATGTGGTCTGACATTGGTCTGTTGGTTCAGCTCCATCAGGCTACAGCCTCCACACAGCAAAAGTACAGCTACAGCACCAGCTAATTTTGACATCAATCTCGTTATCACCAAAGCTGAGAGAAAAGTCCTTCTCGTCCCTCTCCTCACTGACAAGGTCTGTCGGGGAAGACCCTGAATTCAGACACCAGCATCATGCAGGAACCACCCCTGGAGGGCAGGGCAGGAACAGAGAGCTGCATCTGCTCAGATGTGTGGTCCAACCCCCAGGAGAACCCAGCTTACACCAAACCCGACAGGAGAACCCCCACTGCCCCTCTCACCTTCGCAGGGTTTGCCAGCAGCATGACTTGGGTGATGGCAGCAGGCGGCTGGATGGGATTGAAGGGAGACAGCTCCGTGCCAGAGGGGGGCTGGAGCTTCACTTTCATGGACTGCAAGTGAAAGAGAAAGAGGAACCTCAGGGATTATCTCCTGCCATGGGGACAATGAGAGACCCTTGCACAGGCTGGGGAGGTAACAGCACACATCTGAACTGAAGAGAATCAGTCCACATGGAGGGTGAGGAAACAAGAGCCAGCCCCACCTGACAGGAACATGTTCCTACATGTCTGGAACAGGTGCTGACAAGTCAGCCCAGAGTAAAAGCACTGGTCAGGTGAACACCAACAGCACCTTCATCTGCGTGCTCTTTGCCAGGGGTTTTAGTGTGGACACCTTCCTGACAGCAGCAGGTCACAGCTGAGACTGGGCCAGTTCTCAAACACAAAGCTGCCCATCCAAAATCATCCAGGTGCAGTAAGACCAGAATGGCACATACTGTCAGATTTAGGATGCCTTAAAAACTCTGATCCTGAAGACCTCAAGGGTGGCTCTATCCATGTCACAGTCTGTCTGAGCCACCTTCATGAACACACAGAGCTGGATTGATCTTGGATAGCAACCAAAATAGAACACTGCCTGCAGTGCTCGACTTATCCCATTCAGTGTTTTCTGCCTCTGACAACCACCTCTATGTTCTGGGAACAGGCAGAGCACAGCAGAACCAGGCTGCCCCAATTCCCAAGTTCAAATCCAGGCCTTCCCAAACGCAGTGTCAGGTGGCTGTGGGTCTGACCCCATCCCTACCTTTGGCACAGCAGCCTGGAGCACGATGTTCTTCACAGGGAGCGGTGCCGTGTTCAGCATGGACACCACCACCACCAGCACATCCGACCTTCCCGGCGGGCATTCCCGGGCAAAGTGCAAGAGGATCCGGAAGCCGTTCTTGTCATAGGCTGTCACTGGGAGGGCACTGCCTGCCACAGGGAGGGAAGGGGACAGGAATGCAGGTTTATGGTGCAGAAGATGAGCTGTAGCAGCATTAGACACTGAGTGTTCAGCTGGGACATCTCAGCCTTTCTCTCTACTTCCTAAGCTTTGGGAAGAAACTTCCCTTTTCAGGAATGTTCACGGAAAGGTGAAAATCCCAAAATACTCACTGGGTTTGATGGATTCCAAGGGAACGTGGACATTGGCCAAAGAAATCTCAGGTGCTTTCATGGGACTGCCTTGCTGCTGGAATGCTGCTGGCTGGAAGAGAGGGCTTC